TAATAATTAGACCTAGGAGAAAAGGTTGAATCCTCCCTTACAGTAAATGTGTTTTGGTCCCATAAATGTGCTGCTTTTGGAGATAGCTTCTTCTGGTGTCACCCAGAAGTCGGTTCTCTCCACTGTGTCTCAGGTTTAGCCTCCCGAAGGAGACCTGCCCAGAACATGGCTTTTATATGTGTTCTCTTGGACGGGAATAGTCCTCTTTGTCTCATCTGACCCAGAGACGGGGTATGTGTCCTTTTTCTAAAATGACTTCCCTGTCTTCGGCGTTAACAAACGCTCATTTTCAAAGGCCTTCACTTAGTTGGAACAGTCAGAGTTTTTCCTAATTTTACATGCCTCTAAAAAGGAAAGTATAAAGAGGTGGAAAAATTAGGAGTAAAGTCAAAGCAAATAAACTGAAACAGAGCAGGCCTGACATTTCCTCTAGCATGTAGAGGGGGATCAGAAGCAGTCCGTCCCAGTGAAACCAGAAGCAGTCCGTCCCAGTGAAACCTGTCCTCCAAGTCTTTAAGAATGCTTGCCAACCTCATACCATTTAACTGGCAAAAGGAGTCCCGTTTTTCACATACAGGCATGTATATTTTTAAGTCCAAGCTGGCTAAAAGTCCCATTTTACAGAAGTTTACATAAAGTACGCTAGGAGGCTTACTAACTTTACTCTCTCTAGCACTATTGTCTAAAGTCAAGCAAGGAATTTCAATACATTTAGCATCTAGTTCAAATGTAATATGTACAAGTACAAGATAGTCATAAAATGTCCTTTTAGAGAAATATCATAACCTTGTAACAGGGCCGGGGAGATGGCTCAGTAGGATAAGCGCTTGACTGGCAAATGCAAGGATCTGAGTTCAATCCCCGGTTCCACAAAAAAACAAAAAACAAAAACCATAACCTTGTAACATTTCCATGTTTTAACTTAGATTTAACAACAACATTTTGACCAACATTTTAACAAAACCATGTAAAAAACAAGGCATAAGCAATTGCAGGCAATTTTTTTTTAATTTTTTTTTTATTTATTTATTTGAGAGAGAGAGAGAGAGAGAGAGAGAGAGTGAGAGAGTGTGTGGTGTGTGTGTGTGGCCAGCTCAGCCC